AAGCTACCCACACAGGATTGTGTCAAGCTAAGAAGTTTCTTGAACAAAGAAAACCACCAGAATGATGAAGAGACAACAATCAGAATGAAAAATGACAATAGCAACCAAGTCGCCAATGCTGTAAATATCTAGAACAGAAAAAAAACACACAGTGACAAAAAAAGTAAATAATCTGATTTGTTGAATGAATAAATGAGCAGGTGTCTCTCAAAAGAAAATACTTACGAGTGTCTAACAAATATATGAAAAATGATAAGAGTAGTAGTTTGACTGAGATGTACCTTATAACTTCAGGCATCTGAATATTTGACCCCAGGTTTCTGGCACTGTTTGTGTGGTGAGCCTACAAGTATTTTACAATAAATGTACAGCTGACATCTATTGGGCTATCCACGGGAAATGTATACGTACACACCCACTTGGACCAACTTATTTTGCAGAGCAATGGGCACACCTGTTTTTTGGATAAGTTACTGTCAATTCTACTGGTGAAATCATGTTATTTCTTCCTTCTATAGCATCCCAGCAGTTATATAAATCTGACTTTTCCTGTAGGGCAATGGATATCTGCCCTCACACCATGAAGCCTCGGTGTGAAAGGATTCAGTCAAGTCCTTGTTCTCATAGACAAAATCTACATAAAAATAGTCTCCCCCCCTCAGCCTTTCTTTATTGATTGTAGTCACTGATAAGAAAAAAGCCTCTTACAGGAGGTAATGTGTCTGCTCTAACAGCAGACCGAGGAAGGTGTAATCTCCTGGTCTTCTGCTCTGACTTAACAGGCTACCAATATTCTATATTTACCCTTTACCTTAGTTTCAACTAACATAGGATCATAAGCCAATAAATTAACTGTCCTGAGTCACTAAAACAAGCTTCAGAGAGAAAAATTCTCACCTGGGCACCTTGTTGGAGTCAAAAGCAGGGTCCCCAGAAGAGATTCCTTTTAACTCAATCAGCTAGATGCTCATGCAAACCAAGTCTGTAGGTTAGTATAGCTACCAAGGCTGTGTTGCCCTCTGTAAGTTGCCTTGGTCAGGGCATTTTTACAGCAATGGGAAGGTAACTAGTCCAGTCAGCATCACCAATCACCAGGGAACTGCAAACCACAGCGCTGTGCCTTGCCTGGTGTCTGGCATAGACAGCTGCACCAAGTCACCCTATGTCCCATCAGCTCAAGATTACCAGGAAAACTTAAATAGCCAAAGTCAACTAGGTAAACCCTGCAGCAAGAAGGGGCCCTTAACAGAGGGGTCATAAGGCCGTTGAGAGGGGAAAATGTGGGAAATGCACTCCCTGAGACTGGAGAGCTGGAGTTAAGACGGACCCAGTAAAAAGCGGCCAGAGTTCGTACACTGCGGAGGTGTTAGAATAATCATGTTAAGACAAAAACCTTAGCGCTGAGAAGGGGAAGCAGACAGAAAGCCCCACCTCTAACCAAGAAGCTTTTCTCAACCGGTGTGGATGGGCAAAGGGAAATCCGTTTGTTCCCATGAACTGTCACTGTGCATGTCAGGTAGACTCTAGGGTAGGTCTATGCCCAGGAGGAGCTGACCAATCAAAACAGACTCCATGGCTTTATGTGTGTGTTTTGTTTTGTCTTACTGATTTTCGTGTGTGTGTGTGTGTGTGTGTGTGTGTGTGTGTGTGTGTGTACGTTTTAAATATTTATTTTTGATGTTTTTGTTGGGTTTTTAAGAGAGAGTGAAAAGTGGGGACAAAAAAACCAAGATGTTGGTATTGAGGAGTGGCCAGGATCTAGGAGAAGCTGCGGAAGAGGAGATAATATGATCCAAAAACATTGTATTAAAAAAATAAAGAATTATTATGACAGGTGTCAAAATATCAATCCCCATATTCAAATTACCATTATCCACAAAAGCCTAAATATGTAAGGAGCCCAAATGGCCATCAACAGATGAATGGGTAAATAAAAGGAGCTGAACGCATCAGACAGGATGCTGTAACGCTCAAGAGGACACTCTGACATATCTACATATAGTGAGCCTTGAACGCATAGTGCTAAGTGAACTATGGTAACTCAGGAAACTACAAAGGGTGCATGATTTCACTTATAGACACAAGTAAACTTGTAAGGATAAGAAGTAGAATGGAAGGTTCCAAGGGCTAGGAGAGATTGAGAGAGGGTCATTGTTGGATACATCCAGAGTTTCAATGTTGCAAAGTGAATACAGTTCTATACTAGTGTCCACAGCCACAATAGGAATGCATTTAATGCCACTGAAATAGAATAGATGACAGGAACCGGGACATGACTCAGTGAGAGAAAGCGCTTGCTTGCAAGGATAAGGATCTGAGTTTAAATTCCTAGCACCAACCTAAAACATCAGGCCTGTAACCCCAACATTGGGACTTGGAAATGAATCCTGAGGGCTCGATGGTCAGCCAGCCTAGCCAAAATGGTGAACTTCTGGTCCAGTGAGTGACCTTGATTCAGGACAACGAGGCAGACAGCCATCGAGGAAGACACTTTCTCTGACCTCTGCATACGTGTGGAGGATGGGGGTAAGTGGTAAACACTAAATACATGCTACCTCAATTATTTAGAGAGTCATGTGGGATTACTACTGGCTAGTCTGAAGTCCTGTGAAGACATGGGTGTGAATGAGCTGGTAGCATAAGCTCCAGTTCCCATGCATGCTAGGGCTTCACACAGGCCTTACTCCCAAGATATGATTTCTGTTTCAATGCTCAGTTTCCCCACCTCGGCTTATTAACAACACTGCTTCTGACTCTCGTCTCATCTGTTCTCTTGCTTGCTGTTTGTCCTACTGGTATAAAGCGCAACCTTGGGATTCTAACCCAGGGCAGCAAGCATCCCCGACCTGAGGCTTTCCGTCACAGGGGTCCCCTAAAGCTTCAAGTAGGTCTCTGAAATCTTCACAACCTGTTGTCTTTAGTCCACTAAAAAATGTAACTCTACACCGACCGTTCCAGGTACCCTAAAATACACAGACACGCATGACACTTCCTGATTCCCCAGGCCCCACAGATTGGAGGACAAAGCCCACCAAGCAGTAACCTATGTCCTAAATGACCATTTGCAAAGCAAGGTGCCTACATGATTGTGACACTACTTGCTTACATTTGATTAGAATTTCCAGAGAGGAAAATAAATCCCTTCGTGAAAACTAGAAATGAATTACAATCCAAAATGAAGGTGGAAAGATTATTGCGAAATCGAATGCATTCGCTTAGCTTTCTCTGAAGCATAAACTGCAGTGTTAGAAAGAACCCTAGACTACAAAGACTTGGTCCCTAGTCTACAGCGCTGCAGAAGGAGGCAGCCCTTGAAGAGGTAGGCACTAGTGGAAAAAGGTAGGTAAGTGCAGGTATGCGTTGGTGAGAGGGGAGTTACTGGGATCCTGGCCACTCTTGTCTCTCTCTTCATTTCCTGGCTACGCTGAGTTAAGCAAGCCTGCCATTCTGTACTGTGTCACACAGGCCCATGGTCTGAGAGCACAAGCCAAAGCACTTCCCTCCTTCTACGTTGTCGCTCTTGGATATTTGGTCACCGTGATGGAAAGCCAACTTGAACACCAAGAGTAGCACTTGATGAAGCAGCAAAAGGAAGCAAAATGATTCGTAATATATGCACTATAATTCAAAGCAGGAGTCAGCTAACTTTTCCTTAAAAGGGTGGGCTAATAAACATCTTAGCCTCGTAAGTCATGAATGACCAAAAATATATATAAACAGATGAGTGTGGCTATATGACAATAAAACCTTAGAGGTGAACATTGAAATTTGAGTTTAATGTAATTTTCACAGGCCATAAAATATTGTTTATTTTAATTCTTTCCAATACAAAAGCCTTTCTTACATCACAGCCTGGGGCAACCCCTGCAAATAGCCAAATCTGGTTTACAATTCTAATCATCTACCTCTTGCTTTATATTTTTTATTTTACTTTTGGAGACATAGTCTCATATATTCCAAACTGGCCTTGAACTTCCTATGTAGACAATGCTGGCTTTGAATTTTCTAGATAACTGAGACTGGCCTTGAACTTCTAATCCTCCCAAGTGATGAGATTATAGGTATGCATCACCATGTTTGATTTAAGTGGTACTGAGAATTAATACCAGGATGTCATGCATGCTCAACAAGCACTCTATAAACTGAGTTACATCCCATCCCCATCCCCACTTCCTGCCTTAGAAAACTGATTTCTCAAAATTCAGTCCACAGTTCACCAACCATCAGCATCTCCAAGAAACACGTAAGGAAGACTCAGTGGGGTGCCATCTACATGTTCTACCTCGAGAAGCACTGACATAAAGTCCACAGAGCCCCACAGGCCAGGCTGTAATCAACCTATGGACCATACCTGGACAGAGAGACGACCTGAGAAAATCCGAACCTCTCTGTGCCTCAGTTTTCCCACATGCATTATCTATAATCTCCCACAGGCATGTTGTGAGAATCCTCACTCATTCAAGTACACATACATCGATGAAAATATGAATTGTTATCATTACAAAACTGTATGTGGTTTTCATACCGATCCTTCAAAACAAGCAATATGTTTACCAAAATAGTAGAGGAAAATGGAGAAACTCACCCAAGATTGCATGTGGGTCTTGAAAGAAAGGTTAGGTTCAAATGGACAGAGGATTACAAAGTCCCCCAGGGCCCAGGTCACCACCACATATCCTTCCAAAGATCGGCTCTCTCCCTAGCCCCTCTTTAGCTCATAAACCCTTAAATATCCCCTAAGAATACCTGCCACACAGAAACCTTCAAGAATCTGTACCCCAATTTGCCCTTTAATTCCCCGAAATTTATCTTCCATTAAGATGCATATTGTTTCTTACAGCTTCTCTTTCTAGTTATAGACTGTAAATTTTCCTTCTGCTGAGTCTTGGAACCGACTGACTGTTTTTCATTATATTTGTAAGGCTCAGGGAAAAGGGGGGGGAGGCCATTCCTTTATTTGAGAATTCTGACATTTATTAGCATAATAAAACTCTCTAGATGAAATTGCAGTTTTCCAGACAGTAATTTCATTTGCAGGACAACTTACAAGGAATTTATTTGAAAGCCAGGTAAAACCTAAAATATATGAGACATGCAGAAAGTGCAGGCCCCAAATAAAATGAAATACATGGGTTAGCGATGGAAAATTCAGCTGTTATCTCTCACATATTAATTAGCAGTCGACAGGAACCACAGCCAGGACGTCAGGTTTTCAAGCCATCCTGGACTCCTTTCAAAGATGCTGCGGGAACTTTCTTCCAGTGTGGGGGAACTCATCCGTGGAATCCCCTGACACAGCACTACTCTGGCAGGAAGCTGCCTCTGTGCAGTTGTGGATAGCAAGGTCTTTCATCTGGACAGAGATACCCTATTTATCACGTACTTGATTGGCCAGGAGAAACTAATAATGACCACACACAAAAATTCCTTATCCCAGTTATACAGTTATACAGTTGTTATACAGTTATACAGAGGTTCAGGGAGATCCTTCCAGTTATATGAGGTTTACTGAGATTCTGTTAGTTATGTGGAGGTTTAGTGAGATTCTGCCAGTTATATGGAGGTTTAGTAAGATTCTCCCACTTACAAGAAGAGTCAGTGAGATTCAGTGACCTAAACAAGTTTACTTAGCTGGTAAGTAGCAAGATCAGAACAAAAGCGGGTCTTCTGAGTGCTAGTAGGAATAACCTAATTGAGATAGAACTTGGCTATAGTTTGGCAATACCATAGGATTCAGAAAGCAGGATCCCTCCACCAACATTTCATTTTGTTCATACAGTGGTGCAGGCTGACTGGAGGGAAGCTATGGAGCTTTAATAACCTAAAACTGGTATTACTTAATAGACTGAGGATGGTTATGGAGTCACGCGTGTGCCATCCCAGCACATAGGAGGCTACCACAGGAAGATCAGGAATTCGGGACCAAACCTGAGCTACATAATAATTTCCAAGCCTCTTCCGCTACCTGGTAAGACCCTGACTCAGTCTACAAAAAAATAAAAATAAAAATAGGTATTTGTATGGTAGGTACTTAACTTGGGTTCCCAAAAGGTAAAAACTAAGTGAGACACCCACTTATCTCAGGGGTGGCATCCCAGAAGAACATCCCAGAGAGGTAAGAGGCAGAGGATGAGAGACAACAAGGGTGTCTTAGCTACTCCATATTGCATGACTGTCTCCTCAGAGACCACAGAACAGTTCCTCCAGGAGGATGAAGAAAAAAGATGCGCTTGACCTATATGAGCATGAACCAAAAGCTCACTGCAGCAACAGGGAGTAAATAAATGATGAGCTTTTTTTTTTTCCACTAAAAGGGGGCAGGGCTAAAAAGGGACCCAAGCATAGAGGTACATACTTATAATCCCAGCACATAGGAGGTGGAGACGGGAAAATCAGGAGTTCAAATCAGGAGTGAATTTAGGTCATGATGCATCCGCCCCCCCCCCCCAAAAAATAAAAACAAACACAAGGGTGATGACAAACAACTGGAGTAATTAGATTGAGATGTTCTAAGTCCACTGTTGAAGATACGATATACTAAAAATGCTTTCTTGCCCAAAAATTCAATCTTAATCTCATCATGTCAGGAAATATGAGATAGAGTCAATACAAAAATAACAGCAGGACACAATAAGACAAGTACAAAACACAGGTTATTTTGCAGAACCGCCCAAAGTATACAACAAATCAGGGGGTCGAATAAAGGGAGAAGGGTGTTATCTGAGACTTAAGAGAATACCAGATGCTACATGTAAATCTTGTCCAGATTCTAACAGAAGGAACTATAAAGGACGCTTTCTGGTCCTAGACCTTACTGAAGAAGTATTGATAGTTGACAGTTGCTAGGGAAGACGATCACTCCTCTTTGAAGACGTGGCCCTAGTAAGATTTCCACTATGCAATGAAAGGCCATGCCCATGCACATATGGGCATCACTAATTGTACTTTGTGAGTTATATTTTATAAATACATGATATTGGGAGTATACTGGGGTGATATGGTGGGAAGGATGGGGCAGGGGACAGTCAATGTTATCATTTTTTCATTGCATAGATGCATGAAATTCTCAAGAATAAAGAAAAACTGTTTAAAAGATAAATGAATAAAGGTCCCCTAAATACCAAGTGTGGCATTAACAGATGTACACATGAGGCTGAAGAACACAGAGAATGAGCAAATGCAGAATCAGTCATTGAAACTGACTACAACGATAGCCACGGAAGTGGGTGATGGCACAAGTAGCCAAAGAGGAGCAAAACGGAAGAGCCAAGAGATCGGGGAGAGAATGGTGGAAAATGAGAGATGCCTGACACAGCTCTCAAAGCAGGCGCAACAGTTCCTTGGTATTTCCAGAGTGCATCTATTCTTTAACTGCAACACAAACCCAGTGCTCCATGCATTATGGTATCAGTAAATGTTGCAGGGTGCTGCATTAGCACCCAAGCATTGCAGATTTCTGAGCCTGCAGTTCTGCTGTCACATCTGCTATCTCCTTGCCTGTGGCTGTAAGGGGACAACATGATTGTGCCCAAATTAGATACCATCCGTGAGAGTTATTGAGTTATTGGGAGTGTACTCTCATTGATATGAAGAACATTTTCAGGTTAAGGAGACAGAAGAATTAAAGTGAAAACAGAGCTAAGTCTTTAAGTGAGAGCATCCTAGACAGCAAAGACCTCATCAAGTACCTAAAATCCATCCTTGGATTTATAATCTATCCCAGATCTTGTGCATATTCACATGAAACCATTACCACGATACTGCAAAACAGGAGCCGAGATATGAGAAAAGGTAGAAGGGATTTATCAAGGAAGACAGCCCAAAGTCAATCTCCTATTCTGAATGCTGAGCTTAGAAACCTTAGGTAATTCTCTCATGATAGTATCAACAAGCTCATGAACACTAGGAAAGATGCAACATCCATGTCTCCCATGTAAGTTAGTCACAAGCCTGCTTGTGATCTCGGTGACTTTATGAAGTGGTAGAGAAAATAATTTGCTAGAAACCATCACACACTGGTATTGGGAGATTTTTCAGAATGGCATTCACTCAGCAAATACTTATTGGGTGTTGACTCTATATGAATTGTAAGGTTCGGCACTAGATTGCTTTGCATTATGAAACATGATCCATTCAGTCTACGAGTTCAGCTGAGAACAGCCATGACAGACAGGCCTCAGGGAGCATCCATTATTTAGGGTTTCTGTCTTGAGCTTTGGAATGGGGCCAGTCTCACAAATGCAGTCACATTTTGTAGGTCACATTCTGGAGACTCCCTACTACCATCTGAAGAATGATGTATCTTCTAGAGGACCATGAGGCTTTGAGTTGGGATATTCTTAAGCTCAGTTCAAAATCGGGATACTCAAAGGAGTCCAAAGAGGAGGAAAACCATCATTCAAACAGCAGGTGATAATCTGGTGGGCTATCCCTCTGTCCGCAGGGCTCCTGCAGCAGCTCTCCTCCGGAGACAGTGATTATTTCCTCCTAAAGGGAAAAAGAAGAAAGGAAATCCAATTAGGATCAAGAAGAGATATAAATACTCATGGGGAATCAGCTAGTGAACTGGAGACAGAAAGACTAAGGCCAGTCATGCATCTAGCTCCCCTCACTCAACTTACCAGAAATAAAAGGAAAAATCTTTTAAGAAGAAATGCATCAGTGCTATATGAGAAAATAAGCAAGAGCACCAACAAGTAAAATTCTGAAATGATTGTTGAAAACCAGATTGTCTGAGAAGAAATGCAAGCTGTGAACAGATTGGTGACACAGCCCCCAATTAATGTTTGCCCCCATTCTTGGTGAAACTGGAGAGACTCAAAATACAGACATTTCCATACCCTTGAAAGGCCTACTCATTGTTGGTCCCAAGCCTACACCAGAAGACACTAGATTTGAGAAACAGAAATTGTCTACTCACTGATAAACTTAAGATTGAACATTGGAAGACTGTCTTATTCTTGAAGCATTTAAGGACCACCTCAAGCATAGCAGAAAAATGCTAAACTCAATAGTTCAACAGATTTCTAAGAAGGTTTATAAAGGAAACAGAGAGATGCTTTAAGAGATCTACAATATCTTTCGCAACAGAATAAGTCATCCAGGAAACAAGAGAGGGCTGTTGTAAGAAAAAAATGAGCATGCAATTGAAAACCATGGCTGCTTAAATTTAAAATATTCTCAGCAGAATAGATGTAACTAAAGAGCAATTTGGTAGACACAGGAATTATAACATCAAGAGAAAGATGCTCAAAATAGAAAATGGACTGTGAATAAGAAAAGATAATTTACAAGTAATTAACTGGAAGTAGTCTTTAAGTATATGAAAAAACACCTCAGTGTCAGTGGTCATGAGAGAAACACAAGCTTGGGCAAAACTGAGCTACAGTGTCTGTCCTTGTGATGGGAAAAACGGTCTTACATAGCTCTCACGGAACATGAATCGGTGTCATGTTTTTATATGGCAATCTGGCAGGTCTTCTATAATTAAAACGTGAATACTTTTCTTTCCAGCAATTTCAGTTCAAGGAACTGATCCTGGAAAATGCCACATATGTATCCATAGTGACAAAGTGGCATGTACGTAGTACAGAAGTCTCTGAAACACTGTTCATGACCAGGAAACTGGAAGGTGGAGAGATGGGCACAAGAGGAGAATAAGTAATTAAGCTGCACTCTACACCCATACCAGGGAATCCCTGGAACATTGACGAGTCCTGGTACATAAATTAACATGGAAAGATCTGCCAGACATATTTTTGAGACAGGTTCTCAGGAGTCACAGGTTGGCCTTAAACTCACTATGTAGCTAATGATGACCTTAAATATTTTATCCTCCTTTCTCTCCCTCTTGAGTGCTGAGATCACAGACTCACTTACACACCTACACACCCAGTTTATGCAGTGCTGGGGATCAAACCCAGGACTCTATGCTAGACAAGTGCTTTAATAACCGACCATCACTGCCAACCCCTCTAAGTACATTTTAATAACGGATAGCACCTACTGATGATGTTACAGTATTTTTTCGTCACTCTACACAATGATATCTCATTGACATCTCACTGGGATGTCACCGAATCCACCCTACTAAAGAGGAAACTGAGTCACAAAAGTCTGAGTAGTAACCCAAAGCCATGCATAACAATGACGTTAGAATTTAAACTTGACATTCTGGCTCTGGGAACCATGCCTTTAAACGCTACCTTCTGCAGTTTCTTAAACATGGGGTTGGAAGTTAAATTGCTGGGTTACATGCTACAAAAGTTATGAAACTACTAGCCAAGCATGGTGGCACATGCCTTTAGTCCTAGCACTCGGGAGGTGGAAGCAGATGGATCTATTTGGGTTTGAGGCAAACTTGGCCTACAAAGCGAGTTCCAGGACAGCCAGTTAGTTAAACAGAGAAACCCTATCTCAAAGAAAAAAAATCATAAAGCTATGTATTCTCTTATGTGAATAAATTTTACTATCACTGCCCATCAAATAGCACATGGCACGCTAGTAATTCAAGGCAAAACATGGAATTGGGGGCCTGAAATGAATGAAGCTGACATATTAATGCAACCATGAACTAGAGGTATAATTAAAATTTAATATATTGCTGGGCGGTGGTGGTGCAAGCTTTTAATCCCAGAACTCGGGAGGCAGAGGCAGGTGGATCTCTGTGAGTTCAAGACCAGCCTGGTCTACAAGAGCAAGTTCCAGGACAGGTTCCAAAGCTACAGAGAAAAACAAATAAAAAAATAAAAGCAAAAAACAAAACAAAATTTAATTTTTCAAAACTGACCAACAGATCTCCATATGGGCCTGGATAATATCTCTGTATGGGGCTAGAAGTAAAATTGTTGATTTCCAGAATTTAAATTTGAAATAAATAAAGCCCTTGTGAGACATCTGATCTGGCCTTCCTGTATAGAATCTGCCCAGACAGAAGGACACTGACACTTTGATTGAAACATTGGTGGAGATAAGGAGCCAGAGCTGATGACGTAGCTTATTTTGAATATGAGAAAAACAAACAAACAAACACTGGGGCTCAGTGGGAAGTACCAGCTGAAGAGGAAGGCAGCCGGAGGTTTAACTCTGGATTGCAGCTGGCACCAGCCATGAGAACTTAGCCAAGTGCCTTGATCTCCCAGATCTTGATTTCCTGATCTATGAAGAGTGCTAAGGTGATCATTAACATGGGGTTCACAGTGATTATGAGGGCATGCATGCTTAGAATCCACACACTCCCTTCCTTCTCCTTATGCTGTTAGGTGGTCTTTCCAAACACAAGTAGAAATCCACTCTGACCAAGTCTAGTTCCACAGTAGTGCTCTGAGCCCAGGTGTCGCTGAATGACACCTTCTATCTCTCTTGCGTTCCTCTTTCTGTCTGTCTGTCTCTCTCTCTCTCTGTTTTTGGTGTAGTGTTACTGCTCCTGCTGTTGTTACTGTTGTTTGAGGGTTTTATTCTTGCTGTTTCTAGCTATGTAACCCAAGCTTCCCTTGAACTGGTGATTCTACTGCCTCGGCATCCACAGTGCTGGGATGACAGATGTTTTTCAACATGCTTAGCTAAAACAGGTGATTTTCTATGTGTTTTATTTATAAGGCCAGGTGAGGCGGTATTTCTCAAGGCCTGGAATCATCTGTGGATGGTAAAAAAAAAAAATCTAAAAGCAATACACAACCCAACAGATGCTATTACAGAAAAATCTCAGTGCAAGCAATCGCTGTGACATCTTCTACACCTGTGAAACTCAGGTAGGTTTCAGACCTGGAGTTCTTATAACCTATCGCAGAATGCCTCAGACCTTCCCTTCTTATTGATGAGGTATGAATGTCCTCTTAGTTATGACAGCTGCCATCATCTGCATTAACACAAAGGCTGCTTCTCACTATCTGTGAGACACTTGCAAGACAGCATCTTTCCTGGTGTGGGTCAACGATGGGACAAAAAGCAGAGTCCTGGACACAGGACCTCCATACTCGATGGACAGTCATAGAATGCAGTTGTGGATACAATCTTGTCAAAATCCACAAGATCTCAAAGTACAGTGTGTATTCATGTGGTTGATCTTATGCTTTGAATGTGCTCCCCAAAAGCATGGGTTCCAGGCGTAATTGCAATGTAATGGTGTTAAGGGATAGAAGCTAGAAGAGGCAATCAGGTCAAAGGGCTCTGCCTCCCCAACTAGATCAAAGCCACTATCTCAGGAATAAGTTCCTTGTTATAAGGTGAGTATGCCCCTGAGCACATGGATGTGCGTGTGTGTGCGAGGAGAGAGAGAGAGAGAGAGAGAGAGAGAGAGAGAGAGAGAGAGGAGATGCATGTGTCTGTATGTATATATGAGAGATGAGAGTGGTCTTGCCTGTACACACAGGCAAGTGTGGAGGCCAGGGGTGACTCTCCAACTTAATTTTCAAGACAGAGCCTCTCCCGTGAGCCTGGAACTTGCCATTTTTGCTACCATGGCTGGATCTGCCTGTCTCTAGCATCTCACTCTGACCCTAGCACAGGAGTACAGGTGTATGCCGCCATGACTGGCTTCCGTGTGGGTGTTGGGGATCTGAGGTCAGGTCTCATGGTCACACAGCAAGCGCTCTACCCACGAAGCCATCTCTCATATTTGGCCCCTTGCACTGGCCCATTCTCTTGTTCTCTCTTCCTCCATTGCTTTTTCACATTTTGCCAGAAGGTGATGAAGCAAAACAAACAAACAAACAAACAAAAAAAACCCTCCTTGAGCGACAGTCCCTCTGTCTTGGTCTTCTCAGATCCAGAAACTGAAAAGAAGAGTTTCATTTCCTTACAAATTTCTCAATATGTTTTGCTCCATTGTAATGGCAAGGAAAGCAGACGACACGGAAGCTCAGTAACAGTAAGTGACTTGGTTAAGGTCACACATGTTCCAAATGGAAAAGCAAGTTCAGACAAGAAAAGTGCTGATTTTACGGTAGAGATAAGTTGTGACAGCCACACGGGTGCTACCTTCAAAGCTTCAGAGAGGTGAGAGACTAAGACAAGGACTTGGACAGAGAGCCAGCTGTCAGCTCCCATGCTGACAACAGGTACTCAAAGGAGAGAGGCCTGGGGTTACAGATGCACAAGGGGTCGAAGCGTGAGACATGAGGCTGAGGAGAAACCATGGACCCCAGAGCCTGCCCCGGACAACTTCTGGCCTCTTCCACCTGAATGTCCCATAGTTCTGAGATCCTGCAGCCTTAGGCTTAGAGCTTGCACCTGCTGCACTTGTACCAGGCTCTCTTCCGCCCAAGTTTCTGCCAATCCCATGCTCTACCAACACTTCCTAGAGGGATACCTTGTGGAAATCAATGAGGTCTGTGAGGGTGGCATGGCGATTAGGGTCCACTCCCAGAAAGCTGTAGAAGTCCCCAGAGGCATCCACAAGAAAGTGTTTGAAGCCTTTCTGTAGGCGGTAGGACAGGGTGTAACCCCAGATCTTCTCACTGACCCGGACCAGAAATGCTCCCTCGGTCATATTCTCCAAAAGGTCTTCTGCATTCTCTCGGCTAATAATTCCTAATAAAGAAAAAAAAACAGAAAGGAAAAAGGTTAAAAAGGCCTTTGTAGGCTCTGTACTTCCTAGTCCACTGCCAAGTCATCTTCCACACCATTCTTTCTGGTTCAGTTCACAGGCCAACCATGTTGTCTGGAGTATGGGAAGGGAAGAGAAAGGCCTTAAGGGTTGACTGGTCTCTGCCTGCTGTGGTAGAAATATACTGACCCAGAACAATCAGCCATGAGACTGAGGACAGCATTCCTGCAGGAACCAGACTGGAGCGTGCTTTCCTCCAAATTAAAGCACACTAATTTGGATTAATTAGGTAAGCAAGGAATTACTAATGAACTGGAATTATAGCATCTATTGATTACAAATACTAGAGGGCCTTAAAGACCAGAGTTAATGACTAGCCAGAATGATGGAGGATCATGTCACAATGACCTGGTACAGTAGATGAAACCCATAGGGAACAAGGATCCAACCTTGTGACATTGGAACACAACACTGTCCTCAAAAAAGCTTACCCTAAAATAATGCACAAGCATTATGCTTTGAGTATGCTTACAAATTTCTCCACAGCTGTCCTGGGGCATGTGCAGCCTCTATGCATGAAAGAAGCATCCACTGAACGCCTATGCACACTGAGTGCACGCTTCCTTAGTGGGACAAGTAATGAAATGCCACTTCACACCAGAACCAGAACTTCCTAAGGTGCTTCAACCTATGCCACGTGGTACTGTCACTGTATGAAGTTACTTGGAATTACTTATGCATTGACATCATAGAAATGCTTTCATAAAAGCCAGGTGGTGGTGGTGCACGCCTTTAATCCCAGCACTTGGGAGGCAGAGGCAAGTGAATCTCTGTGAGTTTAGGCCCAGCCTGGTCTGCAGAGCGTACACCAGGACAGACTCCAAAGCTACATAGAGAAACCCTGTCTCAAAAAAAAAAGGAAAAGAAAAGAAAAAAAGAAAGAAGGAAGGAAAGAAAGGAAGGAAGAAAGAAAGAAGGGAGGGAGGGAGGGCGGGAGGCAGGGAGGAAGGAAGGAAAAACCAAGTATTTGGTGGATCAAACTCTAGCAATCAGGGAGATAGGAAGAGGAGAGAGAGCCAGAAGAAGATTTGTCCCCACTCTAAAGGATCTTCTGACAAAGCCTTAACGTCTCCAATGCTCTTTTGTTGTATGAGGTCACTTGGTCCTTTCCTGGGCCATCCTGGCTCCCGAAATAATCACACAGAAACTATATTATTTAGATCACTGCTTGGGCCATTAGCTCTAGCTTCTTATTTGCTAACTCTTACATCTTAATTTAACCCATCTCCATTAATCTGTGCATCACCACAAGGTCGTGTCCTGCCAGCAAAGTTTCAGCACGTCTGTCTCTGGTGGCGGCACCATGGCTTCTCCCTCACTCCACCTCCTTTCTCCCAGCTTTCAGTTTAGTTTTCCCCACCTACCTCTATTCTGCTCTGCGCAGGCCCAAGACAGTTTCTTTACTAACCAATGGTATTCACAGCATAAAGAGGGGAATCCCACATCACTCTTTGATATTTATGTGATTATAACCCAGATCTATTCCACAGGTACATTATGGCTTCCAAATCCAATAAAACGTTCCAGATGTTTTTTTGGTAGATTGGTTGTTTTCTGATCCTAGCAATAGTTGTGCGTTTGGTGGGTCTCCTGCTGTTTTAAAATAACAGTGAATTATATGTAACACATCCCCCTCTGCACACCTACTTGCCTACTTGACAAGGGTCACACCCTTTAGGTCCCCTGTGCCTGAGGTAGGGGACGTGGGCTCACACTGCCAAATACCCCTTTTAAAGGCAGTCAACATGCTTGAGAGCTACTGTTCACATCCTCAAGCAGGATTCAGAACAAAGAGCAATCAAGCTGCCTAGCTCTCCCAAAACAGGCAAACTAGAAGGGGGCTATTGGTGAGGAGGAGGAAAAAAAGATCCTAAGGCAGGAGGTATCCTGTTTTGGTCTCTGCTTCTGTGATAAACACTGTAACTTGAGAAGGAAGATGTCTTTTTTGGCTTAGCTACAGTCCATCACTGAGGGAAGCCAGGACGGGAACTCAAGGCAAGAACCCAGAGGCAGAAAGCCAACAAGGAGGCATGGACAGGTGCTACGCACTGGCTCGGTCCCTGCGATTTGCTCAGCCTGCTTTCTTATACCACCAAGAACCACCTAACCATGGATGGTTGGACCCTGTTCTATAAATTTGCTTACCTGGCAATCTGACAGAAACATCTTCTCAATTGAAAATCCTCCTCACAGATAACTAGAACTAGTGTCAAGTTGCAAAAAAAAAATAATAATAAAACAAAACAACTAACCAGGACAGGGGTATATTAGAACACAAACGGCAAACGATATCAAGGTATAACGTGAAATAATGGGGAGGGAATTTTAGGTGAGTAAAGAGATGTTAGGGTAGGGCAAAGAGGGAAGTGGTGGAGAGCTAACTAACACTAATGATGTTTTAAAAGGACATAAGAAAACCTATTTTGTATTTCTTACTACACACACAAATACACACACACACACACACGCAAGCACACACACATAAATGAGTTTAATTGGAACTACCCTACATAAGGGATAATGCTCCTCCAAGAAGCCACAAGTTGCCAAATAGAAAGCCCCGTCAGGGCTATCCAGGAAGGTCCCAACACAGGGCAGGCTGTGATCAGATGTGGCAAGTAAATTCCCTTACCTGCTGAGCCATCTCACGGCCTGCTAATTACTAGTTTAAACTAGAACATAAAGAGTATGTCTATTTACAGGGTACCATGGGGTTATGTGACATCTTTATATGAAAGTGTCACTGGTAAGAAGATTATGTGAGTTTATTTAGTCATTAATAGGAAAGTAAGATGAGATTGTTTATCAAAACGTTCAAGTTAGGGGATAGTAAGATGACTCAGCAGTCAAGAGTGCTTGCTGCTCCTGCAGATTACTAGAGACTGTTTCCCAGTGACTCACACTGCCTTAAACGCCAGTTCCAGAGGGATCCAATGCTCTCCTCCCTGGGCACCCATACACACATACATACACACATACATACATACACACATACATACATACA